CATTCTTTCGACTACTTCAGCAACAGTGCTAGAGTCGAAATATTGTGAGAAGTATGGACCGCTAAAATGTTTGTTTGTCGTCATTTTATCCTGGTTTTGTCGCTTTTTTATCGAAAAATCCTAAATTTAAAAAAATCGAAAAGTGAAAAATCTGAAAAATGGAAGAATTGAACTGAAGAATCAAGAAAAATTCTGAAACTGAAATGAGGAAAAATTGGAAAAACGAAAATTCGAAAAGCCGAAAAATCGAGAAACAGCATAGAGGAATCAAAACATCAAAATATCGAGAAATTCAAAAGTTGAGAAGTCGAAAAATTGAAAGACCGAAATCTCGATAAATGAAAAAATTGAAAAATCGAAAAATCAAAAATTTTAAAAATCGAAACATTGAAAAACCGCAAAATCCAAGGCCGAGAAGTCGAAAAATCGAAAGATCGAGAAATCGAAAACACTAAAATTTTAAAAATTCAAACAACAAAAATTCAAAAACCGAGAAATTAAAAACATCAATAATCTAGAAAACGATAAATAGAAAAGGTCGAAAAATCGAAATACTGAAAAACCCCAATTCTGAAAAATCGAAACTTGAAAAATCGAAGAGAAATTGAAAAATCGAAAAAAAATAGAAATCGAAAAACTGAGAAATCGAGAAAGCGAGAAACAGGTAAATCGAAAAATCGTAAACTCGAATCGTCGGGAAATCGGAAATTGAAAATTCAAAACTGTATTAATCGAGAAATTGAAAAAATTCGAAAATTTAAAAAATCGAAAAAGTACAAATTTCAAAACCTGAAAAATAGAAAAATTAAAGAACTAAGAAATTGAAAAACCGAGAAATCGAGTAACTGAAACATTGAAAAGTCTAGAAATCGTAAATTCGAAATATCAAAAAACGGATTAATTGAGAATTTGAGAAAAATAAAACAATTAAAAAATCGAAACTTGGAATGGAATAATCGAAAAATTGAAAAATCGAACAATTTGAAAACCGAAAAACTGAAAAGCCGAAAAATCAAAAATTTTAAAAATCGAAAAATTGAAAAACCGAAAAATCCAAAAACGAGAAGTCGAAAAATCGAAAGATCGAGAAATCGAAAACACTAAAATTTAAAAAATTCAAACAAAAATTAAAAATTTCAAAAATCGACAAGTTGAAAACCGAAAACTCGAGACGTCGAAAAATCGAAAGATGGGGAAATCGAAACACTAAAAAACTGAAAAATTTAAGAACTGAAAAATTCAAATATCGAAGAGTTGAAAAATTGAGACCTTGAAAAGCCGAAAAATTGAAAAATCGAGAAATTGAAGAATCAAAAAATCTAAAACATCGAGGAGTCGAAATATCAAAAGATCGAGAAATCGAAAAGTCGAGAAAGTGAGTAATCAAAGCACCCCAAAACCGAAAAGTTAAAAATTTAAACATCGAGAAATTGAACAATCGAAAAATCGAAACATCGAAATCTCAATAAATCGACAAATCAGAAAATTTGAAAACCAGAAAATTGAGAGTCGAAAAATCAAAAATTTAAAAAATCGACAAATTGAAAAACCCAAAAATTCGAGATGTCGAAAAATCGAAAGATGGAGAAATCGAAACATCAAAAAACTGAAAAATCGGAAGTTTAAAAAGTTGAAACATGAAAATATCGAAAAATTGAAGAACCGGGAAAGTGAAAAATTGAAGAATTGAAAATTAAAAAAATCGAATAATCAAAAAATCGAAAAATTAAAAACATTGAAAAATTAAAAAATTATAAATGCGACGAAAAATATAAAAGCTGAAAATCCAAAAAACTAAAATTTGAAAAATAAAAAATTGAAAATTCGGAAAATTGAAAAAAAATCAGAAAATCTAAATCATCGTGGAATCGAAACATCAAAAGATCAAGGAATCGAAAAGTCGAGAAATTGAGAAATCAAAGCACCCCAAAACCGAAAACTTAAAAATTTAAAAATCGAGAAATTGAACAATCGAAAAGTCGAAACATCGAAATCTCAATAAATCGATAAATCTAAAAATTTTAAAACCAGAAAATTGAGAGTCAAAAAATCAAAGATTTTCAAAATCGACAAATTGGAAAACCCAAAAATTCGAAATATCGAAAAATTGAAAGATGGAGAAATCAAAACATCAAAAAACTGAAAAATCAAAAGTTTAAAAAGTTGAAAAATTAAGATATCGAAAAATTGAAGAATCGGGAAACTGAAAAATTGAAGAATTGAAAATTAAAAAAATCGAAAAAGCGAAAAATCGAAAAATTACAAAAATTGAAAAATTGAAAATTTATAAATTCGATGAAAAATAAAAAAACTGAAAAATCGAAAAAATTTGAAAAATTGAAAAACTAAAATATCGAAAAGTGCAAAAATTGAGAAATTGAAAAGCCAAAAAATTGAAAAATCGGAAAATTGAACAATTGAAAAATCAAAACATCGAAAAATTGAAAATCTAAAACATCGAGGAATCGAAACATCAACAGATCGAGAAATCGAAAAATCGAGAATTCGAAAAATCCAAGATTTAAAAAACCAAAACTCGAAAAATTGATTGAAAAACTGAAACATCGAGAAAATAAAAAATTCGAAAACTGAATTGACCAAAAATTGAGGAACTGAAAAGCTCAAAATTCGAAAATCCGAATAAACCGAAGAAAAATCGAAATTTAAAAATTGAAAGATCTAGAAATCTAAAACATGGAGAGATCGAGAAGTCGAAATATTGATCGATACATCGAAACATCAAAAAATCGAGAAATCGAAAACTCTAAAATTTAAAAAACTGAAAAATTTAAATATTGAGAAAATGAAAAATCGAAATATCGCATTGAAGAAAAATTGAAGTATCGAAAAATCTCAAAACTGAAACATTGAAAAATTGAGAAATCGAAAAATCGTGAAGTCGGAAAGTCGGAAAATCAAAAATTTCAAAAATCGAAAAAATCAAAATCTGAGAAAATGAAAACTTGAAGAATTAAAAAAATGAAGAAAAATTGCGAAATTGAAATACGGAGAAATCGAAAAGTTGAGAAGTCGAAAAATTAAAAAAACTGAGAAATGAAAGGACCCCAAAATCGAAAGGTTAATTTTAAAAAAATTTTAAAAGTCGAAAAAATTGAAACACCTATCAATCCAAGACCGAGAAGTCGAAATATCGAAAGATCGAGAAATCGAAACATCAAAAAACTGAAAAATCTAAAATTTGAAAATCCAAAAAATTCAAAAGTATAAATATCAAAGAATTCAAAAATCAAGAAATTGAAAACTCTAAAATTTTAAAAATTTAAAAATTCAAACTCTGAAAATGAAAAATCAAGCAATTACAATTCTCAAAAAATTGAAAAAGTAAAAAAAGATGGAGAAAACGAAAAATCCAAGAAAAATTGAAGAATCGGCAAATCCAAAAATTGAAACATTGAAAAACTGAGAAATCGAAACGACAAAAATCAAAAATTTCAAAAGTCAAAACCTGAAAAATCAAAAATTGAAGAATTGATGACGTGAAAAGTGGAAAAATCTAGAAATCGCGAAATTGAAAGAGGGGAAAATCAAAAAATCAATTAATCGAGATCTTTGGGAAAAAATCAATAAATTAAAAAATCAAATATTTATAAATTCGACGAAAAATAAAAAAGCTCAAGAATCGAAAAACCTAAAATTTGAAAAATTGAAAAATTAAAATACCGAAGAGTTAAAAAATTGAGAAATTGAGAAGTTGAAAAATTGAAAAATCGAGAAATTGAAAAATCCCAAATTTAAAAAATCGAAACATTGAAAAATCGGAAAATTGAAGAATTGAAAAATCAAAAGATCGAAAAATTGAAAATCTAAAACATCTAGAAATCGAAAAATGGAAAAATCGAAAAATCAAAAATTTAAAAAAGCCAAAAATCGCAAAATTGAACAATTGAAAAACTGAAACATCGAGAAAATGAAAAATTCTAAAACTGAATTGACCAAAAATTGAGTAACTGAAAAACTGAAAATTCGAAAATCCGAAACATCTAAAATTTAAAAATTCGAAAAATTGAAACATAAATATCAAACAACTGAAACATCAAGAAATTGAAAACTCTAAAATAAAAATTTAAAAATTCAAACTCTGAATCGGAAAATCCAAAAATTGAAACATTAAAAACTGAAAAACTGAAAAATCGAAACGACAAAAATCGAAAATTTCAGAAGTCAAAACCTGAAAAATCAAAAATTCAAGAATTGATAAGCTGAAAAATGGAAAAATCTAGAAATCCAGAAATCTAGATAATTGGGAAAAATTCAAAAATTTTAAAAATCGAAAAATTGAAAACTTAAACACCTGAAAAATCCAGAAATTGAAAACTGACCTGTACCGAGGCAATGGAAACTGTCCGAATAACCTCAATTTAACCAACTTTTTGATAATCCACAAACCTAAAATCAATTAGATTATTTCAAAGATCCGTACACGTAGCGCCATCTTGTGGAAAGCTCAACATTTACGATTAGTTGGCTAATAAATAAACAATAAGTTGAAAGTCAAACAACTTTATTTACTTTAACGTTAAATTAATGGCATCACTGCCAACATATTTCTTATCTTTGTTGACACGACTTTCACAATTTATACAATGACAAATGCTGTAAATACGATTTACAGTTTCGAGTAGAACGCGATGTCAGTTTTACGTCAAAGTTCAGCTTAGTGGCGCCACCTATAAATTATCGCGAAAGTACGTCGCCACAAAATGATTTCTTTTTAAAAACAACAAGAAAGCATCTGCGTTATCTCTCCATAATCAAGTTTTGCTTTAATTACGAACCTCCTGAGTATTTTTTCATCCAAACTACCGATAAAACTCCAGGAAAATTTATTTTAGTAGCAACTTCTTCATGCCATCTGGGTTTTTAATATTTACTGCGACAAAGTATGGTCGCTTCTGGTTTTTGTAAAAGTGGAAAGTAGTAAAAGTCGTTGTAACAGATAATACTTATTTATTACTATATTACAGAACATAAGTAAGACTTTGTATAATACAGTGTATATAATAAGTACATGTGCCATAATAATAGAGCTGCGTGCTCCGTTATCCAAAAAAAAAAAAAATAAATACAAACAGTAAATAGCATCGCCGTAACATTTACAAACATAAAGTAACCGAAAGTTTTGTTATCACCTATGATATTCTAGTAATACAGTTTATCAATTATTTCGATCCTATTCCCGCTGCTGCACATTATTGTAGTATAATATTAGACTAAATTCTATGAAACGAAAGTCAACAAAAATGAATTTGTTTGGCGCTTACTTAATAACGACGAAAGTGGATAGTCCAAATCAAGTGGATATGTATTAATAGTTATGGTCAAGAACAATTCTGTCCTACGAAATGATGTGTGGACGGAAAACGCGAACTCTAAACCCATTCACTATTGCATTTTGACTTGTTTAAATGAACGATAGTGGAATGTACATACATCTACGTAGTTAATTTTCTCAGCCTTGTTAATGATATAAATTAGTCTAGTAGCTGTAAGAACTATGGAAAGACTATCTTATTAAGTACTCTTAGAAATACTCGTGTGCATAGCTTATCTGGCAAGTGGGTTACAGTTTTGACAATTTGAAGCGCTCCTATCGTAAAACAGTAACCGAGACCTAACGAAAATGAGCATTAAAGTCGTTTCCATACTGTACAAATCAGATCTTTACACGTTTCCTTTCAACAGTATATACAAGATTGCACAGTCAGTCCTGGCAATTCGACAACAACAGACAGACTCTCACGATTGGAATGAACCGCAACACTCGGTACAACAACCAATGTTAAAAAAATATAGGAAAACTATAACAATAACAATAAATAAGACAGCGCGGAAGAGAACTAGAGCTGAATCTGGAACGCCTGCGGCGCGTTGGTCGATGACAAGAAGGGATTCGTGGGGTTGGCCTTCGCCGCGACGTCGGCCCAGCCGGCGTCGAAGGGGTCGCTCGAGCGCGCGAACGCCCCCGACGAGTCGAGCGACATGGCGCGGGCGTGCGCCCCCAGCGCCGGCGCCCGCCGCGCGCCGTCCATCTTGCCCGGCGTCGGCGTCGGCGACGCCGAGCTCACGATCTGGCCCAGCCACTGGTCGGGCTTGGGCAGCGCGCCGGCGTTCGCGCTAATACTGTTGGCGTGCTGGCCCCGGGTGGGGCTGGGCCCGAAGCTGAGCGCCGGGGACGGCGCCGGCGGCGACGGCGCCGACTGGTTGAACGTGTTGTTGATGGTGGTCACGTTCAGGTTCAGCGTGTTCTGGTTGATGGAGGTGTGGTTGTTGAAGTTGAAGTCGTCGGAGCCGCTGTGCGTCAGCTGGCTGAGGCCCTGAGACAGCTGCTGGCACAGGGCCGTCACGGAATCACCGGGTGATATCTCGGGGATGGGCGACACTTGCTTGGCGCTGGTGGGCGACGTGGGGGACTTGTACGCGTTGAGGCGGGCGGTGTTGCTGGGCAGTTCGTTGACGCGCAGCGACATCTGGCGCTTGAACGGAGAGTTCTGGCCGAGGGTGCTGAAGCCGCGGCAGCTGCCCTGGCGCTGCAGCATGCTGGGGGTGGCGTGGGGGCGCTCGATGGCGAACGGGTTGACGGGGGGCGGCTTAGGAGGCGCCACGTCCACGCCGCGCTCGAGGCGCTCAGTCAAACTGCAACAGGATTATGTCAAATTCAAATACTATCTTAGAACTTATTACTTAATTCAATAATTCAATATTTCGAAAACCTAACCTCACAAAGTATTTCTCCCACAAAACATCCTCTTAACCCTCTGTCCAATTCTACTTCGTGTTTTCAACTTTTCGATTCATTAATTTTTCAATTCTCCAAATTTTCGATTTGCAATTTTTTCTTTCGCTTTTTATTTCCTTTATTTTTGAAATTTTTCGATTAGCAATTTCACGAGTATTCGATTTTTTTTTCAATTTTTCGTTCCTTCAATTCTTCAATTCGCAATTTTCGGTTTTTCAATATTTTCCGATTTTTTTCTCCTTCGATTTTTTATTTTTCCACTTTTCAATTTTTCGATTTTTCAACTTAAAACTAAAAATGAAAACCTTGAAAAATTTAAAAATTGGAAATCAAGAACTTTAAAAATTGAAGAAATGAAAAATTCAAAAACGCAAGGTTAAAATTTGAAAAATTTTAAAATCGAAAAAACTTAATATTAATAAGTGTTAATTAATTAATTAGTGGTCGAATCTGGACTTGAAATAAATTCAAAGTGTTCCCGTCCACCCTCCCCGTTTTCTTCTTGATCACTCATTTTATTGGATAAAAATGGAATTTGTGTTGATAAATAGTGGAATCTAAACAAAAATGTAAAACTAATCCCACCCACCTCCACATCGGAATTTCATTGGCTTATTTTACTTACTGTGAGATGAAGGTTGAATTTTTTTTGTCAAGTGGTCGAAATTATTAAAAAACTTCAAAGTGGCCCCGCCCACCCACCCGGATTTCTTTTCGATCACCCATTTTATTGGATGAAAAGTGGATTTTATATTGATAAATAGTGAAATCTGAACAAAGAAGGCAAAATTGGTTCCCACCCACATCCCCTTTTGAATTTCATTGGTTTATTTTATTTATTGTGAGATGAAGATCGAATTTTATTTTTTCAAGTGGTCGAATCGCTTAAAAAAAACTTCAAAGTTATTAATTGGTTAATTAATTAACATAATAAATGCAAAACTGAAAAATAAAAAAAATGGAAAATGGAGGAATTGGAAAATCAGATTAAAAATTTGAAAAACTGAATAAACGAAAAATTATTACTAAAATCAGCTGCAACATGAAAAAAATGAAGAAATAACTGTGATCTAAAATCGAGAAAAGAAAACTTAAAAAATCGGGAAAATGAAAAATTAAAATCAAGAACTTAAAAAATTGAGGAAACGAAATCGGAAAATTACAATTCGAAAAATTGAATAAACCTTTGAATTTCATTGGTTTATTTTATTTATTGTGTGTGTTGAATTTTCTTTTGTCAAGTGGTCGAAATGGTTAAAAACTTCCTAGTGGCCCCGCCCACCCACCCGGTTTTCTTCTCGATCAGTCATTTTATTGGACGAAAAGTGGATTTTATATTAATGAATAGTGAAATCTGAACAAAAAAAGGTAAAATTAATCCCACCCACCTCCACTTTTGAATTTCATTGGCCAATATTATTTTATCAAGTGGTCGAATCGATTAAAAGAAACTTCGAAGTGCCCGCCCACCCACCCGGTTTTCTTTTCGATGAATTATTTTATTGGACGAAAAGTGATTTTATACTGATAAATAGTGAAATCTGAACAAAAAAGGTAAAATTAATCCTACCCACCACCACTTTTGAATTTCATTGGCTAATTTTATTTTATCAAGTGGTCGAATCGATTAAAAGAAACTTCGAAGTGCCCGCCCACCCACCCGGTTTTCTTTTCGATGAATTATTTTATTGGACGAAAAGTGATTTTATACTGATAAATAGTGAAATCTGAACAAAAAAGGTAAAATTAATCCCACCCACCTCCACTTTTGAATTTCATTGGCCAATATTATTTTATCAAGTGGTCGAATCGATTAAAAGAAACTTCGAAGTGCCCGCCCACCCACCCGGTTTTCTTTTCGATGAATTATTTTATTGGACGAAAAGTGATTTTATACTGATAAATAGTGAAATCTGAACAAAAAAGGTAAAATTAATCCTACCCACCACCACTTTTGAATTTCATTGGCTAATTTTATTTTATCAAGTGGTCGAATCGGTTAAAAGAAATTTCGAAGTGCCCCGCCCACCCACCCGTTTTTCTTTTCGATGACTCATTTTATTGGACGTAAAGTGGATTTTATACTGATAACCAGTGAAATCTGAACAAAAAAGATAAAATTAATCCCACCCACCTCTACTTTTACATTTCATTGGCTAATTTTATTTACTGCTAGAGGAAAATTGAATTTTGTTGTTAAATGGTAAAAAAGCTGAAAAAAAACTTCAAACTGGCCCCGCCCACCCACCCGGTTTTCCTCTCCGATCACTCATTTTATTGGATAAAACGTGAATTTTATATTGATAAATAGTGAAATTTGTACAAAAAAGGCGAAATTAGTCAGTCCCACCCACCTCCACTTTTGAATTTCATTGGCTTATTTTATTTATTGTGAGATTAATTTTATTTTTCAATTGGTCAAACCGCTTAAAAAAACTTCAAAGTTATTAATTAATCAATTAATTAATATTAAGAAATGCAAAATTGGAAAATCGAGGAATCGGAAATCAGATTGAAAATTTGAAAAACTGAATAAACGAAAAATTATAACTGAAATCAAAAGAAACATTGAAAAAATAAAGGAAGAACTGTGATATAAAATCGAGAAAAGAAAAATTAAAAAATCGGGAAAATGAAATATAAAAATCAAGAACTTTAAAAATTGAGGAAACGAAAAATGGAAAAATTGTGACAACGGAAAATTGCAATTCAAAAAATTGAAAATTTGAAAAATTGAATAAACGAAAGATTAAAATCGAAAGAAACATTGAAAAAATAAAGGAAAAATTGTGATCTAAAATCGAGCAAATAAAAATTAAAATCAGGGAAAATGAAAAATGAAAGTCAAGAAAAAATTGAGGAAACGAAAAATGGGATTTTTTTTCCACTTGGAAAATTGAAAAATCGAAAAATCGGGACACTGAACAATCGAAAAATCGAAATCTCAATAAATCGAGAAATCGAAACATAGACAAACTGAAAGAAAATCCAAAATTAAAAAACGGAAAAATTGACAAATAGAAAAATCGGAACTGAAAAGTCGAGAAATCTAAAATTTAAAAAGTCGAAAAATTGACAAGTTGAAAGATTTAAAAATTAAACAATTGAAAAAACTGAAAAATCGAAAAACGGATGAATCGAGAAGTGGAAAATTGAGAAATCGAAAACTTATGATGAAGGAAAAAACTGAAAAAATTGAAAATAACACAACTGAAATACGAGAAAATTGAGAAAACTGAAAAACGAGAAATCGAAAAATTGAAAAAATTGAAGAATCAAAAAAACGAAAAATCCCAAAACTCGAATACCAAAAATTGAAAAATGAAGTAATTGACAAACTGAGAATTTTTAAATAAAAAAATCGATAAATCGAATAACTGAAAAATGTTAAAATTTAAAATCCGAAAAATTGAAGACTCGAAAAAACAAACCAAAAAAAAAAAAATCAAAAAATGAAAAATCTGAAACCTAGAACTCAAAAAATCGAAAGATCGAAAAATCGAAGCACGGAAAAATTAAAAAATCTAAAATTTAAAAAGTGGAAAAATTAACAAAAAAAACCAGAATTCAAAATCGAAGAATTGAAAAATCCCCAAACCGAATTCTCGAAAAATTAGGAAATCGAAAAATGAAAAATTGTAATATCGGAAAATTGCAAATCAAAAATTTGAGAAACGAAAAATTGAAAATTTGGAAGTCCAGAAATTGAAAAATTGAAAAAACTAAAAATTATGATATCAAAAAATCGTAAAATTGTAGAAAAAAGAAAAACTGAAAATTGTTTTAACAAAAAATTGGTCTACTCTTAATAAATCCAGATTTTTCGTAAAATTATAAGACTTAATTCGGCAGATTTATTTATTTTTTTTTTTTTCGAAAAATTAGGAAATTGAAAATTCCAAACATCGAAAAATCTGGAAATTGAAATAATCCAAAATGGAAAAATTGATAACTGAAAAATCGAAAAATCACGAAATCTCGATAAATCAAGGAATTGAAAAATTGAAAAAAAATTAAAACCGAGAAATTCAAAAACCCGAAAAATCAATAATTTGAAAAATCTGAAACCGAGAAGTCGAAAAAGCGAAAGATCCAAAAGTCGAAGGAACAAAAAATTGAAAAATGGAGAATTTAAAAACTGGAAAAATGGACAAAATAGAATAATCTCTGGAAAACGAAAAATCCAAAATTTAAAAAATTAAATACAGAAAAACTGACTAATCGAAAGATTGAAAAATCGAGAAATCGAATAATTGAAGACTCGAAAAAACAAAAAAAAATTAAAAATCAAAAAATTAAAAATCTGAAACCTAGAAGCCAAAAAATCGAAAGATCGAAAAATCGAAGCACGGAAAAATTAAAAAATCTAAAATTTAAAAAGTGGAAAAATTAACAAAAAAAAAATCAGAACTCAAATTCGAAGAATTGAAAAATCCCCAAACTGAATTCTCAAAAAATTAGGAAATCGAAAAATGAAAAATTGTTATATCAGAAAATTGAAATTCGAAAATTTGAAGAAAGGAAAATCTGAAAATTCGGAAGTACAGAAATTGAAAAATTGAAAAAACTAAAGTTGAAAAAATGAAACATTATGATATCAAGAATTTGTAAAATCGTAGAAAAAAGAAAAACGGAAAATTGTGGTAACAAAAAATTGGTCTACTCTTAATAAATCCAGATTTTTCGTAAAATTGTAACACTTGATTCGACAGATTTAATTTTTTTTTTTTCGAAAATTTAGGAAATTGAAATAAACCAAAATGGAAAAATTGATAATTGAAAAATCGAAAAATCACGAAATCTCGATAAATCAAGGAATTGAAAAATTTTAAAAATCTAAAACCTAGAAGTCGAAAAAGCGAAAGATCCAGAAGTCGAAGGAACAAAAAATTGAAAA